AGTTTTCCCATTGTTTGTAATGCAATTTTAAAAAATTAAACATTTTATTAAAATTTGTCATACATATTATTGGACTAGAACAGAAAGGTAAAGACAGCGAAGTTGCATCATTTCCCTGGCCCAAGACAGTACTGCAGCAGTGTGACAGTGCTGGAGTTTGCTGACCTACAGAGAACATTGCCAAATCCTTTCTATCCACCCAACTCAGTCTTTCTGAGGGGTGGGATCAATGTCCCAGTCTGGTGGGAAGTTTCTAGGACACAGCTGTGTATCATTTTTGGAACATAATTTTGGAATGTCAAATTGTTTATGAATTTGGGGCCAACCCCAGCCATCTTGATTCATGACTGCTACCTTAACCTTAGTCCATGCAAAATCCCACAGGCCTAAATGTGGGGCACCCTGTGTTGCAATGACCCCCAAGAAGGGACACACATCATCAGTCATGCCAAAACTTTGACATGCGGTGGGATCCCTTTCTTTAGCACAAATAACTCTGTCCACAGTTTCTATTGTTTCATGAGTCTTTGTTTCTGATATAAATATTTCTCAATTGTAAATGCAAGGGGACCCCAAATTTGTGTGGAACACAGGTAACCGGGACTCACGTGATGTCCCTCGAAATAAAGGACATCTGAGAGGCAGAAGCAGTCTCATCGTTTACAATAATACAACTGTTCATGGGGGAAGGTCCTACTCAATGTAAATCCAGGTAGCAGAATAACGGCCTTAATGTTGAATTAAATGAATGATATCAATCAAAGTAATAAATACATACTCAACCTAGACAACTTTTCTAGTTCATCCTCTAAAGAGCTGTATAACCTATAAATGGCTGTTACTTATTGGTATTCGGCACTAATATAATTATCACTTGTTTTCTTGCTGTGCCTTTAGTAATGCAAACATTTTAAGGAAACTTTTTAATCTCTGCAGCTATCTGGTGAACAAAATGAGCTGCAGAATGTGTGTTTCCCCTACTGTGGGTAAAACCAGTTAGTGGCTGATTACCATCTGGCCCTTTTACTGAGGCAGCACCATGCCAGCATTCTGGGATGCTGGAACTGCACATCCAGTGTGTGTTGCCAGGTAGTAATTCCCCCCAACCACACACACATTTGGACACTTGCGCCACTGTAGCGCTTTAGTGAAGATCCTACTACGCTGCCGGGAGAGCTTCTCTGGTCAGTATAGTTAATCCATCTCCCCGAGAGGCGGTAGCTATGTTGATAGGAGACGCTCTCCTGTCCACATAGGGCTGTCTACCCCAGGGATTAGGTTGGTATAACTGTGTCGCCCAGGGGGTTTTCACACCCCTGAGCGCAGTAGTTGTACTGATGTCAGTTTGTAATGTAGACCTTGCCTCAGATATACAGAAAGTAACACCCTTCCAAATCCAATCTGTGATTATCCAGGCTGTCACACTGACATGATCCCACCTTCCTGGGGACAGGAAGGGCTCAGTATTATACGGAATGCAGGCATATTTGGGGTGCCAAGAGAGAATTACACACACAGCAATGCCTTGCACACCGTTACACACACACACTGCCTTACACAGTTATACACACACTGTCTTGCACACACAAACTCTACCTTGCAGTTATACATACACAGTGTCTTGCACACAGTTGCACACATGCCCTGCCCTTACACACACACATGCCTTGCATGCTGTTGCAACCCTACAGAATTGGCCCAATACCCCCAGACTGATCCCAGGGCACACACCCAAGTGCAGTTGCCTTGCACACACTCTGCAGCCCCCAGGCTTCAGGCGATAGCAGCGGGACCACCTTTGTGTGATGGAACTACCCCATGACAAATAGGGGACCCTTTATTTAAAGGGACATTTTAGGGACCCACCATTCCCCTGAGCCTAGCATCTTCTCTCAAGCAGACATTTCTCCTGCCCTCGGGTAGACAGTGCCATTGGCATCACCTTCCATGGACTGGTTAACAGAGTCAAGGGATGAGCTCTTCAAATAAGGGCCGGGTACTCACCCCATTGGACAACTCAATGGAAAAAGGTGGGGGGAAGGTTGCCAGTTTTGGTTAGACCTATTCCTGGAGGTTTCATCACATGACATAGTTTTTAATTAAACATTAATTCCTGGGACTCCAGGACAATCCTGGAGGCTTGGCAGCCAGGGGTGCTGGAACATGAACCGAACAGGGATATGATGGGAACCACGTCTAGCCGGGGGGTGCCCCAGTTCCAGCACCTGTCGGCAGCCCGAGGCCAGGGCAGGCTGGAGGCAGGGGTGCCGGCGGGGAGGGGGCGCCCAGCGGCGGAGAACCCGCTGCCGCCCCCCCAGGGCTCCAATCCTCCCACATCAGCCAGCGCGGGCAGAAAAAGCGAGACGCCGCTAATTAGCCGAACGCCGCGGCGTTAATATGCAAAGCTGCGGGTCACCTAATCTCTACAAATCGTTTGTTTCCTCAATTGCCCTCTCAGGGCAGAGAGCGGGAGCAGCGGGGCTGCGGCGGGTGCGGAGAAGAGAGGGATCGGGTCCCCTTCCTGCAACCTGCCCCCACCCCCGATTTGCCTGGGACCTCGGTCCACCCGTGGTGCAGCTGCCTGGCCATGGCCCAGGTCTGCTGGCAAGAGAGGCAGAGTTTTGCCCAGGTGCCAGAAGCTAAACGCGGGGTGGGGCCTGGGGACAGAGTCCGCTGGTGTAAACGGAGTCCATGGCGGCTGCGGAGCTGCGCCCGTTCACACCTGCGGAGCAATCGGAGCAGGGCGATAAGGGACAGGAGCACTCGGCCCTGCCCACGCCCTGGGGGGGGGGAGCCCAGCAGTCTCCCGGCCAGTGCACGGAGCCACCTGCTCCTTCCTGGGAGGCAGAAATCCGGGCGCGTGGAAGCGGCGTGAGACAGAATCAAACCCGGATTCCTGGGGGGTGGGTGCAGGGGCTCGACTCCATCGCTTCATGACACTGTGCGTGGCGCACGTGGGCCTACAAGTGCTGGAGGAGACACCATCTCCTCGCGTGCTCGCTGGCCTCCTGCTCCCAGCGGAGATCTGCCCCCCCCCCAACACAACACAAGGGGGTGTCGCGCTACACCCCGGGCTCTTTGCCCGGCGCGCACCGCAGTGAATCCGGAGCCCACGCGTGCACACGGTCGTGGCGCTCCTGTGTTCAGCCGGAAGAAAGCAGCCTCACTATGCAATGCAGGGCACAGCACGTACTTCCCGTGTGCCCAGCAGTGAAACGGGGGAGGCTGGCTCGGGTAACGGGCAGCCTCTGCCTGCGTGGCTGTTGGGTGAAGGGACAAGTGTTATGGGAACTGTGCGTGGAGCGGGCGGGAGGCGGACTTGAGACCAGACCTCCACAGCTGCCCAGAGTGATCTCCAGGGCTCTCGGCGCCGGCTCCCTGCTCTCCACTGGGAAAGGAAAGGACCTGCCCGCGGAGAGCCGGGCGTGGCTCTTTGGGAACAGCGAGGGTCCCACGCGAGCCCCAGGAGCGAGTCACAAACCTCACCTCGCCGGCCTTCCCCGTCCCCTGCTGCGCTGCGCCCAGCTCCAGCCTAGCCGCGGATCCGCTTCTCTGCGGGAGATGGGCCTGGCGCTAAATGCCACTTTGCCCCCCCCCGGGGGGGGTATTTGCCCGCCTCAGACTAGGCCATTGACGTGCTCCAAAGCCACCTCTCCTCCTGCCCCCGCCTCGCCCTTTGCCTGCCCGGAGATGTCCCTGAGATGCGGCTGGCGGCGTGGGACAGCCCGGCGCACCAGGGCTGGGAGACGGATCGGGCTGTTATCAAACGTGCCCCCCGCCCCGCCGCCCCCAATGACTCGGTGTGTTCCGTCCTAGGCCTGTACCCCAAAGAGACCCACCCGGGGCAGGCGCCACGGCCTCGGGACCAGGCGCCAGCCCCAGCCCGCCTCCCCGAGAGGAAAGCAGTAACGGTGCCACGGACCGGGAGCCCTGCCTGGCCGCCTGGAGTCTCCGCGCAGTGCGGGGCCGCGGCGGGGGCACATACAGGGAGGTCTAAAAGAAAAGCTTTGCACTCAACGCTCTCACGCCGTGGGGCCGAGGGCACCCGGGAAATGCCAGCCCCTTGCGCGCACGGGAGAAGGGAATCCGAAACCTGCGATCCGTCCTGGGGGGCGTGATAGCCACCCAACCACGCGGGGAGAAGGACACGACCTTCCCGAGCACCTGGCTGGCGCGCAGGGTTTCCCTGCCCGCTGCTCCGAGGAGCCCCTGCGAGCTCTTTCGGAGCAGCCGATGTCCTTTCTGGGACCAGCCCAGCATGGCCACCCCTGACATTCCCAATGCGGATCCGGCTTGCCGGGAAAGGCGCCTTTGCTCTGAACGGGAGACCGTCTCCAGCGGCTGCTCCGGCCGCCCAGACCCGCAGAAACTCATCCCATATTTTAACTGAACCATTTAAAAATACATCCGGTCTCAAACAATTATAATTAGCTGCACCTTTACATCTCAGCTCAGCCTGAACTGCACCGTTCGAAACCAAAACGCTTTTCTAGCACTACAGAGAATTGATTACTTTATAATGTGCAATCACGGCGTCCCTAGCGGGGGTTGTACTGGCCTGACTATTCTGGTAAAACGATCACCCCCTTACGGAAATAGTGCTACCGGTACAAAGCTACCGGCTTGTCTACACAGGAGGTGAAAGGAAGCAGAATCAAGAAACGTAGCAACAATCCCAGCACTTGATAGTACCCCCTGACCAGGTTCCCTCGCGCCTTTCTTGGCACCGGGACTGCATTTCAGCTCGTTTTCGTTCCTCCGACATCAGTTGCCTGTTGAGTAAAAGGCAACTTTTATTTTATTTTATTTTATTTTTAATCAAATCCGTCGTGGCACGGATTTCAGGAACCCAACGATGTAGCCTCTTGAGACGGCTCCTTTCTGTCTATTACATTCTATCTCATATCGCAGATGTATGATCTCGATTTCAGAACCACTTCTGTTCAGATCAAAACCTGCTTAGGTCGAAAATATTCACACATGTCTCCTTTCGTTTTCAGGTGATACAAACGGACCAGGAGGATGAATTACTATCGATTTGCATTTACCATTAAAAAAAAATCTATCTACCGAATCAAGCTGTCTTCTTTTTCGGTGAAATGAAATATATCCCAATGGGCGAGAGATGGTAATGATGCAACTAAACTTTACCCAATATGCAGCGTTTGTTACCCGCCACTCTGACTGTTGGAAAGCTCCTATATTTTTCGGGGCGGAAATGTAATTTCTATACGCAATTAATTGAGGTTTCGTTTTGCAACATCTTCTTGCAGATCCTGATTTTCAACGGTACCTTTTAATGTGGTGTTTTACCATCAATCCTTTCTACCCGTATAAATCTAGTTTTATCTGTATCTATGGAACTGTAAAAACAGGTGTGGTGTTACAAAACTGACCTTCCTATCGGGACAAATGTTCTTTGCGATAAAACACTGTCATCGCTGCTTCATAATTTCGTTTTTATTCAAATACACGACGGGAATGGGTGACGATAGTTGTAGTTTCTTTTATTTCATCTCTCGAAGTTAGCAAAGGACTAGAGACTCTCTCATTAAAACAGCTCCAGCGTAAGTCTCCTAGGCTGTCATTTGACGCTATTGTATGGTTGCAATATATGTAATTCAGTGACTGTCTAGACAATCACTCGCTTTTATTAGAACCGTGTTAGATGCCCGCTTCCGAGAACCGTTCTGCACACGGAAGCGAGGTTGTCTGCACGGCTTTTTCTTCCCTATTTACATTTTGCCTATAAAGTTTCGTCCAAACTTTTCGGATGATGTTTTAGAGAGTTTCCATTGGACAGGGGGACTTGAGAAAATCTAGACGCCTGCCTGAAGTGTAGATCCAAGATTTCAGACCACCGGGGGCTATCCTGCACAGCTGCACATGAATATCCAGCCACAAGTGGTTCTAAGGAGCAAGTTAGAATTGAACATTAAATATTCAATCCAAGTCCCTATAAGGTTCCCTGGGTCCTTTAGCTATTTCCCCCGAGTAGGAATCCTAAGGGGGGGGGGGGAATCTTTAAAAAAGGAAACAAATAACAAAACACTCACCGCAAAAGAGATTAACTTCTGTCTTCACTTTTATAGAAAGCTGAGTCTTGCAATGTAACTTGCTAACAGTTTCTCAGCCTACCTGGGTCACCTGGACCAGGACCTTTTACATCCCGAGGCAGAGACATTGAATTCAAAGCACAACCGAAACCGACTTTTTGGTGGTGTTTTGGGTTTTGTTTTGTTTTGTTTTTTTGCTTTCGACTCCCCTTCACTCCTGGAAGAAGAGGTATTGTAACCCGCTTCCCCATACATAAAGTGTGCCACCCAGACCACTTGGGCACGTAGAGAGACATTCGGGGGATGTTTTCACGCTTATTTTGCATTGCTGTCAGACTTTTATTCCCTTATCAATTATTCCTGTAATTAAACCAATCCTGAAAAGAAAGGGGGCGGGGGTGGGGGGGGGGAGAAGAAACAAACCGAAACGAGAGCCCGCCCGGGAGTCCCAGGGGCCGGGTGGAGTGTTTCTGGCGAGCCGAGGTGACTGGGATATGCACAAAGCCGCGCAGGGCACTGGCCGATATGAACTAGGGAACTGACCAGAGCACACCGTCCCTCGGCAGCTGTCAGGGTCAGGCTCACCTGCGGCGGAGACTGTCTCCATTATCCCAGAAAGCCCCTCCCTGCACAGCTGCAGAAGACGCACCGGGAAGGACTGGAGTCAACCCCAGGGGTTTCTCTCTCGCTCTAGCGTTTTGCTGCTCCGCTCTTTCAGGTCAGTTGGGTCACAAGAACAGTTCTCTATGGGGTGGGGGGTAAGCGGTGGTATTTTTGTTATCAGACCCATCTCCTCCTCACTGCTGCTGACAGTAAGGAGGGGAGAGCTGGGGGGGGTTGCTCGGGGGGGCTGCCCTTTAGCTAATTATTCTTTTGCTGGGGAGACGCGTTTCCTCGCTGTCAGACCCCAAGGAAACCACGTGGCGATTGCAGTCAAGATATTCAGAGAGGAACAACGGGCACATACCCCTGGCACGACGCAGAATGCCCCTCAGATCAGGCTGGGCTCGGTCCTACAGTTACATAACCATTCCCCTGACTTCCAGTCACCGCAGGACTTTCCCCTAAAGATGGGGGATGGGGGCGGGCTGGATTCAGCCAACCTCACCGGAGTGGAACATTTTAAATCCTACCCTATGGGGAAAAATCACTCGCCAGGCCTTTCATTTGGTGCCTCTTTAACACACCTTGTTTTCCTAAGGTTTCATTTGCAAGGCGTGCTTTATTTGCTGCGCTTCAAAGCACAAGATTTTCATTTTCAGTAGAAAGAACCTTATCGACTTTGACCACACCGCTCAGATATTTGTATAAGAGAAAATGTATCAGATTGCTTCGTGTGTGTGTAAATTCATCTGTATCTAGGAGCAGAGAGATTCTTTCTCTGACCTGTGCCTCTATACCAACAAGACATTGCCGGATACTAAACACAGCCAGTGGCTCTGGTGACACAGTTTATGATGATGCCTCCAGAAACCTTTGATCGCTTTATAACCTCGGTCAGAGCCTACACCGGGCTCCGTCAGATTCTGTACAATACAATGAACATTTCAGCCCGAAAACATTTGTACTTAGTGGAGAAAGGTGACTTGGAAATTACATATTGCTACAGTGCTAACATCTCAAAACAGTCTCAGCTAGGGCTCAACCTGCAATCCCTTTGCCCAGGGAATATTTTCACTGCTGGCTTTTATAAATGATTATTGTTGGTTTTTCAAGCACCCAGCTCAGGGGTGGGCAAACTTTTTGGCCCGAGGGCCACATTGGGGTTGCAAAACTGTATGGAGGGCCGGGTAGGGAAGGCTGTGCCTCCCCAAACAGCCTGACCCCCACTCCCTATCCACCCCTCCCACTTCCTGCCCCCTGACTGCCCCCCTCAGGATCCCCAACCCATCCAACACCCCCTGCTCCTTGTTCCCTAACTGCCCCCTCTCGGGACCCCACACCCCTAACCGGCCCCGGGACGCCACCCCCTATCTAACCCCCCTGCTTCCTGTC